GTGATATATCCTGATGGCTCTCATCTCATCATAGTGTTTCGTCATTTAATTCCCAAGTTTTAATTTTCCCAGACATTTCCCAAAGCATTGGCATCACTCATAGGGGATATGAAGCAGATGTTAAATTATATTAACAGAAAGTGTTAAAGAACGTGCATTACGGTCACCCAAACCAGGGGATCTCATTCACGGGAATGAAGCCTGATTCATAACTAAGGGTGATGATACATCTGTTCACCAGCTAAGTGGCACTGGGAGATGGCAGAACTGTAAACATAGTTTATAATTCACTCATTTTCTAGGTATTTGTTTTTTAGATTTAGGAGGGCTCACATTATTTCAAACTTTGTGCAAAGAATTAACATTATGCTTTGGTTTGATCAAATATTGTGCTATTTCAAATTTATAGAATCAGAATTTGCAATGAATGTGACCAGTGTGTATCAAGGTGTAGTAGGTAAGGGGTGGTTGTCAGCAGTCCACAGTGCTGCCTGATGAGTGAATTATGAATGAGGTGGCTCTCGGTTTTATATTTTTCCCAAACTCTTCCTGTGACTAGCCCTTCTGTCAAGGTGATTTTTTTGAAAACATAATTGGCCACATGCTTTGTAATTCAGGTGTCCTCCCCTTTAGGAGAAAGCAGGGTCCCAGCCCCCGTATTTGATTTCAGCCGGATAGTTACAGTCTAGCATTCAGCCTTCCTAAATGAGGCTGGATACATAAAGCTAATCAATGTCTAGAGACATAAAACTAAAAAGATGAAAAATCAGTCAAATAACTGCATCTGCTGCATGCGTGCTCAGCTCTGAGCTAAACACTGACAACTGAACCAACTTTGAGAAGAGATACACAAGTGCATGTGTACACACATTTCTCACAGGCTTCACAGGGAAACACATGTTATTGGGAAGCTCACAAATTCTCTCATGTTACATTGAAGTGTGCTAGCTTGTCCTGACTGCGCCAGAGTTCTGCACTCTGAGACTTAGAACTGACTCAAAGGTCTTGAAGTTTGGGCTTGAGAATAGCTCCCAGCCTTGTAGACAGACTATTTAAAAGCTTTTACAAGTTAGATGGTCAAGGGCTTTTCTCTGAGGTCACCATCCCATTAGATTTTGAGTGTTCAGAATTTACCAAAAAGGTAATGTATTAAAAGAGAGAGACCAAAGTTAGTAAATAGAAATAAAATGAATTAAGGCAGGGATGTAGGGAAACAGTAACCATCAGCGAGGCCTTGTGAGAACGAAACAAAATCGGAAGGAAACAGTATTTTGCGATCTTGGGACCCTGGAGTGAGGTGAGCCAAGCAAGGGCAATGTCAGTATTCAACCAAGTAGCACCAAGGTCTCGGCAGCAATGGAACTCATCATGTACAATTTTTAGTTGCCCTGGCAATAACTCTTTGCACGGATTATAAATAACCAAAAAAGGCACACGTAAATGAAGCAAGTAAGAATTACCAGAGCCATGAGTGGTCTAGTCAGCTCCACTCGGGAAGGCTGGCTGAGGGGGTGCTGGTGACAGCAGGGAAGAATCTGAGCCCAGTGTAAAGGACTGTACTGGTCAGAGCAGCACCCGTGGAGCCCCTCACTCTGGAGCTGAGACAGGCCTGAAGCTTCTCCCCCTAGTGTGATCCTACCACGTGCCATTGAATCGAGTCACTGCAGGCTTGACCTCATCTACCTGGCAGCATTTTTACTTGGGTGTGTTCCTTTGCTGAGCCATGTACATTGCCTGGGAGTTTTACTGATCGGTAGCATTAGCTGCAATATTGTTCTCCTCTCCCCTTGCTTTGGCCCAGGAGACTTAAGTGGACGGTGGAAAGTAAAAAGCCAGATCATGGAAGTGGGACTGAGCGTGAACTGTCAAAAGTTCCCAGTCCCCAGAAACTGGAATGGACTGTGCTCACTTACATGAAAGTGTCAGACTGAAGAGTACTCAGGAACCCCTCTAGCATTTCCATCAGTTTGTTTTGCAGAGACTTAAAACACAAGTGTCCTCTTGCTCTTAGTTCGGGGTTCTGCAGAGCAGGAACTCGGCTGGTCCCGAGCCTGCAGAAAGGTAACTCATTCACAGGACATGGCCTCTATCTGGCATAGCTGTAGATTCCTGAGCAATCCCATCAGACCCTCGTTACCAGAGATGCTGTCTCGCCAGGACAGGGAGGACAGTGGATGGGAGCGAGGCAGACTTCACCAACGACCGGCCCCCCTGCGTGGGTGGGGGGTGGGGAGAGTCCCGCTCTGATGTTGCAGGGGCCCTGGCGCCACAGGTGCTGTGCCCGCCCGCTGGCCTCACAGAGGCTTTGGAGTACCTTCTGATGTGACTTATTCTGAGACTTGGTATTATTTCCAAGGAATCTTGTTCTTAATCTGGTGTGAGTGACACAGGCCCTTATGGTAATGAAACCCTTGTGTATTGGCAGTGCTCTCGATGTCCTGAAGTATGAGGAAGTCGACATGGAGCGGTTAGCCAAGGCCGCCCCTGAGCCCCTGAAGAAGTTCGCTACATGTACCCAGCTAGCTGAAAGACTGAAAATAGAGGGTAGGAAAAAATAAGTTTTTACTCAAGAGGTCTGTGTGCTCTCTTTTCCATGTGTTCACATTATGAATAGACAGCAGATCTGCTGGGAGCTCTGTGTCCAGAAGGGCCGGTATTGCCGTAGAGCCAGCGTAGTCCTAGGCTCTTGGGCTCAGAGCCGGTCTCTGGGCTGGCAGCGTCGTGACACCTGGGAGCTTACTGGGGGTGCCGAACCTCAGGCTGCACCTCAAACCCACTGAGCGCAGGCCAGCACGACTCCCAGGTGGCTGCACACTCAGGTTTGGGGCTTCTGTACAGCTTTCCTGTGCCCAAAGGAAAGCTTGCTTGGACTTTTTACATTTCCCCCATCTAATGTTCTAGTAATAAGAAAACGATACTGTCTTTGGCTTTGACAATATACTGAAATACTTGATCATTAATACTTACTTACTTTGTATCGGGCGCTGTAAATTATGACCCGGTTGCGCTCTTGGCTTTGACTGTCCGGACCAGCGAAGCTATGGCTGATTTTTGTAGTCGTGCTGCATTTTAAAAAAGATTCTCATTATGAAAAATTTCAAACATAAGAATATTGAGAATAATATCACTTTTCTGCATTTTGATAGAGTTTTTTCCCGAGGAGGAAAATTATGTGGAGAAAAAAGCAGAGAAAGGAATAGGTGGGAGAAGGATAGAAGTCATATGAGGATGTACTGCTTGAACAGGAAAGGACCCCACACCCCTTGGGGACCAGCCCAGTGCTCAGGGTGCTGCATTCCGTCCAGCATGAGCAGCGGCGTTTTCCTTTGGTTCCAGAGAGGCCTGTCACCTTGCTGTGCTTCTGCTGTTTACATGACCCGAGTGCTCCCTGCCTGCCACCACACACGTTAACAAAAGGCTCACCGGAAAAGGAAACTCACTGAAACTCTAGAATCTAGAATCGTTCTTCCAAATGACTGGACACTAGCAGTATACTCATATTTAAGAAGTAATGTTAAACTATACTTCAAAATCATGGCTTCTTTATTGAGGAAAAATTACTTTATTGAGTCATAAAATTATATTATAATTTGTACTGATTTGCTTTTACTATATATGCATATCAATATATAGATTACTGCTCTATATTATCCCAGAAGGATAACGACATGCCCGTAGTCACTGGTAGAGCCAGGCTTGGAGCTGAGATTTTTCCAGCTGCCAGTCAGATGGAGGCAGGTGCTGCCAAAGCCTCTAGGGAAGACTCACTTTCTTGAACGGGGTAAGAATGCACACCTCAATTTAGGTTTTAAAACAAGTTTTGAATTTAATTTTCTAAGATCAGAATGCTTTAATTACAAAATGATTGCTGAATTATCTTTCTAATGTCATTTCTGAGTATAACTTTAGCTAAATTATTTAAATTAATCTGTTACCATCTAAGAAACTCCACAACTTAAAATTACAGCTTTATATGGGCATTATTCAGAAAAAGTTTTCTTGAAGAAACATTCTGTCTTTAGGACTTAAAATTCAAAACCACAGCCTGTTAAGGGAAACGTTCCACCTAAATTTGCACTTGAGAAAGCGATTTCTTTTGGTTTACTTTTAATTTTTCACATTTTTGAAATGAAAAGAGCATGCAATAAATGACCAGATAAGAGTACTGTAGTTAATATGCAGGATACTCCCTTTCTTCATTTTAGCCTCAGTTTCCTCACCTGCCAAAGGGAATGCCTACCCCACCTATCTTGGGGTGTTGAGTAGGGGATGAGACTCTGTATGCACAAGCTCTTTGTAAACATAATTAATTCTGCCCACCAGCCACTTATGAATTGGTGCTCTTCTATCAGCAACAAGAAATGAAGGAAGTTCAGCGAGATGAAGCCCTCCAGCTGCCAGAAGACCTGGATTACCTGACTCTTAGGGGTGTGTCTCTGTCCTCTGAAGTCCGAGAGAAGCTACATTTCAGTCGTCCACAGACGGTAAGACAGCAGGCAGTGGATAGAATAGGTTATAAATAAAGAGCCAGTGCTTTAATTTTTTGAACCTGGATTTACAGTGGCCACATAATATTTTATTTCATTATAAAAAACAACCTCTTGTTTTCATATAGGTCTTTGTATAACACATGCTGATATGTTTTTATGAGAGATGAAAAAGCTTAGTCTAAATAAAAAACTAAAAGTCAAGAACAGAGTTGATTATTCTCTGGTTCCAGCCATAGGCTAAACCACTAGTGTAAACTATGTGACTTAAACCACATTAGGGTAAAATGTAATACATATCAGGATTTTCAGATCACTGCCTGGATCCCTCCCTAGGGTTCCTTAGAAGCTACTAGAAGGAAGAAGGGGTCACAGAGGTCCCCTGCCCCACATGTGTGTGTATACATGCACATGCATAAACAGATAAAAAACTTGATTCTGTAGTACATACTGTCAGACTTCTAATACCAACTATTTAAAGCTTGATAGGCTGCCTTTATTCTGATTCTGAGATGCACATTTTAACATCTCTGTAACTGAACTGTATGTTAAGAATTGATGATATGTCATAGTTTAATGGGTAGTGTTTTTTGGTTTTTGTGGGGGTTTTTTTTAGTAGTGGTTCATAAAATGGCATTTAGCAAAAATAAAACCTATAAAAAGTTTTGGGAAAAAAAAGATTTTTAAAGGGAAGAGCAATTTCATCAACAAAACATGGTGTTCTTAGAAATAGCCATCATGGAAACCAGGCAAATAGGCCTTGACCTTTATGATTCCGTGTATCCTGTTCCTTCTGGACCACGATCTAATGGGCAGTCATAGGCTGCACTGCCTGAGTGACAGCCTCTAGCCAGATGTGACCACTTAAGTTAACTAAAGTTAAATACAATTCAAACACCTCTTCAGTCACACTAGCCACAGTTCACGTGCTCAGTAGCCACATATGGTGTTACAATGCAAATAAAGTAGTATAAAAAGTCTCTGTTATCACAGAAGGTTCAGTGGACGTCACTGGTCATCAGATTTCACAACCCCTCTTCCACAGTTGTGGACACGCAGAGTTCGGAAGCAGTTGCTAGACTCTCCTGGTAACAAAAACTGACCTGAACGGACAGGCTGCTTAGTCGTTATACCACTAAGAGGAAGTATTCATACATTTCACTGTAAAAATACACCACAGAAATGTTAATGAGACTCATTCTAGGTGCTGCCCTGCACACTGCTGAGGATGTGCTCATTCAATGAAAAAGTAGGTATGCTGCCGTCTGTTAGTTATGTGATCCTGAACAAGTGCTGTGATTTCTCTGAGCCCGTTTCTCCAGTTTGGCAAAATGAAGATATTATAATATTCCCATTTCCTTTATCTACTTGATAAAGTTATTTTAAAGATACATTAAGATAGAAATTTGGAAATATAAACTAATACAGAGATTATTTTTAGGGGGAAATAGATTTGGTTTGATTTGACATAGCTCACTTAGGTTTCTCTTGTGGTTTCATTCTTAGATTGGGGCTGCTAGTCGCATACCTGGAGTGACACCTGCTGCCATCGTCAACCTGCTCAGGTTTGTGAAGACCACCCAGCAGAGACAGGCGGCTTTGAATGGACTGCCCAAAACTGATCCGCGCCTGTGTGATATGGACAAACTTGAAGAGAGACAGTTGTAGCTTTCTACTCATAGAAGACTTTTAATCAACATGAGAGCATAATAGGAGATAAGCAGCATTATATTGGACCCATTAAAATAACCTTGTTAGTTCTGATGGGTTTGTCATCAGCTCATGAAGAGGATGGAGGTTTAGTTGTGCTGTTTGCCTGTATCTCAAAAAGCAGTTGTAAAGCCCTCCTTCTCCAGGAGCCTATTGATGAAGCTTTGTGTGATTGTTCCTCAGAGATGGAACAGTGGGCCTACAGTAAAGCTGAAAAATACCAGCTTCCAGATTTGCCTGTTCACAAGGGCTTGGGCCATAAAATGTGACAAAAGTAAAGCTCTCATCCTTCAACTGGCTTTGAGAGTTAGTGTTGTCTGCTTTGTTGAGGGTCAGGAGCTGATGATTCTTAAGGCTAAAAATTTTAGACTGTATAAAATCATCCATAATCATTTGGCTAATTTCCAATATTGGAATGTGTATTAGCGTCAAAGTTGACTTCTAAGATTGCTGTACTTATGGAGGAAATCATCACCAGTAATTGCCTTTGAACATTAATGAAGACACTATAAAACAGATTAGAAATCCTCAGTTTTCCATCATCCACGGTGTGGAAATGTTTTGGTAACCTGGTTGAGGGAGAATAAAGATAGCTGTTTGATATCATACAGTATTTTCTTTGACACTGTCAGGCACGGTTTCTTAGCACTGAAGACAAATCCGTAGTAATGGGTGACTAGCATTTCTGTTTGTTTAAGTCAGAACTGACTTAAACCCCAAAGGGTGCTGGCCCTTCTAACAGTTCAATGGTGTGGCCACAGTTGGCCAGGTGGGACGACCTGCAGCCCTCTGGCTGACTCCTCTCCGGATAGACTGGAAAGTGAATACAGTCCAGTGGGCCAAGGGCCCTGCTTCCACCTGGAGGTGCTGCTCGGGTCTCTGGTAGCTGCCCAGGGAGACACCCCCGCGTCAGCTCCAGGCCGAAGCAGGCACGCACGGCGGGCAGCAGCCCCGGAGTCACCCGGGCTCCAGATCCGCATGTGAAGCCTGAGTATGTGGGTGAGGCAGCCAAAACTTTGTTCTGTAGTCGTGTTTGGCTGCTTTAATACTCAATTTTCATGGATTTGTTTCATAAAGTCTAGGTCGGCAACCAGTGAAAGGTATTTGTAACTTGGACGGTCCAGCAATGCGGAATTCTTTGGCGTCTGACCCAGTCATCTCACAGAGCGGCGGCTTTTCCTTTTGTCATCGGGGCCACTTTAGGGCAGAATTCTTACTACAGAGGCAATACTGGGCACAACACTAGATTGTGTTTCCTTAAAAGGTATTTTAGCACGAGAAGGGAAATCACTGGTTTTAAAATTGCTTCCTGGTTAAGGAGTGAAACAAGTGAATGGGGGCTTACTGAGTGGAATATCTCAGAAAACATCACCTTGAGGGACCGGAAGGTCCCTGACAGCAGTGATTTGGGCCGGGTGACACTGCTTGTCAGTTAACTTAAGCTTTATAATGTGATTCCATTAGTGGTAACTCGTTGAGAATGTTTGATGGAAAATGTTTGTTTTAGGTTCTGCCATTTGGTTTAAATGTGAAATCTTTTTAAATCCATCATATAAAATACGTTGACTTATATCAAATTATGTCACTTAAAAGAGTATTTCAAAGCAGCCTCCCTTTTGGTGCTGTGAGCCAGAAGTGCTGCAGGCCACAGCACCCTGGGAAGAAGTCAGCTGGATATGTGACCTTGCCCAGCGGACCTTCCTGCTAGAAATCCCCCAACAGTGACGACCGTCAGCCTCCGGCAGAAGGTCGGGTTTCCTCCACCCGTCACAGACCGTCCTGCCTGCTGGTAGAAAGGCCAGGGCCTGAAGTTCATGTGGACAGGAAAGAGGGAGCGGCCAAGACACCCGCAGAGTGTCTGAAATGATTGGTATGGGGACGGAGGGAGGGAGGGTGAAGACAGGCACCTATAATTAAGTCATTATGACCTTGAATTGTGAAGTTACCTTATAGCCAAGTTTGAAGTTAATTACTGATACTTTTTAAGTATTTTGTCATTTTTGAGTCTCACCCTAGCTTAATTATCATGGCTTTTCCACTTCAGAAATACCACCTCCTAGAACGCTTACATTTCACTGTAAAAATACACCACAGAAATGTTAATGAGACTCATTCTAGGTGCTGCCCTGCACACTGCTGAGGATGTGCTCATTCAATGAAAAAGTAGGTATGCTGCCGTCTGTTAGTTACGTGATCCTGAACAAGTGCTGTGATTTCTCTGAGCCCGTTTCTCCAGTTTGGCAAAATGAAGATATTATAATATTCCCATTTCCTTTATCTACTTGATAAAGTTATTTTAAAGATACATTAAGATAGAAATTTGGAAATATAAACTAATACAGAGATTATTTTTAGGGGGAAATAGATTTGGTTTGATTTGACATAGCTCACTTAGGTTTCTCTTGTGGTTTCATTCTTAGATTGGGGCTGCTAGTCGCATACCTGGAGTGACACCTGCTGCCATCGTCAACCTGCTCAGGTTTGTGAAGACCACCCAGCAGAGACAGGCGGCTTTGAATGGACTGCCCAAAACTGATCCGCGCCTGTGTGATATGGACAAACTTGAAGAGAGACAGTTGTAGCTTTCTACTCATAGAAGACTTTTAATCAACATGAGAGCATAATAGGAGATAAGCAGCATTATATTGGACCCATTAAAATAACCTTGTTAGTTCTGATGGGTTTGTCATCAGCTCATGAAGAGGATGGAGGTTTAGTTGTGCTGTTTGCCTGTATCTCAAAAAGCAGTTGTAAAGCCCTCCTTCTCCAGGAGCCTATTGATGAAGCTTTGTGTGATTGTTCCTCAGAGATGGAACAGTGGGCCTACAGTAAAGCTGAAAATACCAGCTTCCAGATTTGCCTGTTCACAAGGGCTTGGGCCATAAAATGTAACAAAAGTAAAGCTCTCATCCTTCAACTGGCTTTGAGAGTTAGTGTTGTCTGCTTTGTTGAGGGTCAGGAGCTGATTTCCAAGCCCTCGATTCTTAAGGCTAAAAATTTTAGACTGTATAAAATCATCCATAATCATTTGGCTAATTTCCAATATTGGAATGTGTATTAGCGTCAAAGTTGACTTCTAAGATTGCTGTACTTATGGAGGAAATCATCACCAGTAATTGCCTTTGAACATTAATGAAGACACTATAAAACAGATTAGAAATCCTCAGTTTTCCATCATCCACGGTGTGGAAATGTTTTGGTAACCTGGTTGAGGGAGAATAAAGATAGTTGTTTGATATCATACAGTATTTTCTTTGACACTGTCAGGCACGGTTTCTTAGCACTGAAGACAAATCCGTAGTAATGGGTGACTAGCATTTCTGTTTGTTTAAGTCAGAACTGACTTAAACCCCAAAGGGTGCTGGCCCTTCTAACAGTTCAATGGTGTGGCCACAGTTGGCCAGGTGGGACGACCTGCAGCCCTCTGGCTGACTCCTCTCCGGATAGACTGGAAAGTGAATACAGTCCAGTGGGCCAAGGGCCCTGCTTCCACCTGGAGGTGCTGCTCGGGTCTCTGGTAGCTGCCCAGGGAGACACCCCCGCGTCAGCTCCAGGCCGAAGCAGGCACGCACGGCGGGCAGCAGCCCCGGAGTCACCCGGGCTCCAGATCCGCATGTGAAGCCGGAGTATGTGGGTGAGGCAGCCAAAACTTTGTTCTGTAGTCGTGTTTGGCTGCTTTAATACTCAGTTTTCATGGATTTGTTTCATAAAGTCTAGGTCGGCAACCAGTGAAAGGTATTTGTAACTTGGACGGTCCAGCAATGCGGAATTCTTTGGCGTCTGACCCAGTCATCTCACAGAGCGGGGCTTTTCCTTTTGTCATCGGGGCCACTTTAGGGCAGAATTCTTACTACAGAGGCAATACTGGGCACAACACTAGATTGTGTTTCCTTAAAAGGTATTTTAGCACGAGAAGGGAAATCACTGGTTTTTAAATTGCTTCCTGGTTAAGGAGTGAAACAAGTGAATGGGGGCTTACTGAGTGGAATCTCAGAAAACATCACCTTGAGGGACCGGAAGGTCCCTGACAGCAGTGATTTGGGCCGGGTGACACTGCTTGTCAGTGAACTTAAGCTTTATAATGTGATTCCATTAGTGGTAACTCGTTGAGAATGTTTGATGGAAAATGTTTGTTTTAGGTTCTGCCATTTGGTTTAAATGTGAAATCTTTTTAAATCCATCATATAAAATACGTTGACTTATATCAAATTATGTCACTTAAAAGAGTATTTCAAAGCAGCCTCCCTTTTGGTGCTGTGAGCCAGAAGTGCTGCAGGCCACAGCACCCTGGGAAGAAGTCAGCTGGATATGTGACCTTGCCCAGCGGACCTTCCTGCTAGAAATCCCCCAACAGTGACGACCGTCAGCCTCCGGCAGAAGGTCGGGTTTCCTCCACCCGTCACAGACCGTCCTGCCTGCTGGTAGAAAGGCCAGGGCCTGAAGTTCATGTGGACAGGAAAGAGGGAGCGGCCAAGACACCCGCAGAGTGTCTGAAATGATTGGTATGGGGACGGAGGGAGGGAGGGTGAAGACAGGCACCTATAATTAAGTCATTATGACCTTGAATTGTGAAGTTACCTTATAGACAAGTTTGAAGTTTATTACTGATACTTTTTAAGTATTTTGTCATTTTTGAGTCTCACCCTAGCTTAATTATCATGGCTTTTCCACTTCAGAAATACCACCTCCTAGAACGCACTGCTGTCCAGAGCAGTCCCAACAGTCTGGATACCCCAGGGAAGCCAACAGATGTGAGGGGCTCCTGGGCCGCAGAGCCGCGCAGGCTGGGAGGCGCACGGGGCAGACAAGCCGCTCCTCCCAGGCTCCCTCCCCACAGGAGTCCTGTTACTGCGTGTTCCACATTCCACCTTGACTTTACTACTGCCTTACCTTAGCCTCATGATTCAAACCTCTTAGATACAGGCCACGCCACAGTTGTAGACACCCAGGACATGCTTTTTGGAGGAATATTACGGAAGAAGAGATGACAAAACTAAAACGAGTCGGTAATTAAGTGGGATAAAATATTTGTGACATGAGCATTAAGAACTATGTCCTCTTCAGCAGAAAATATAGTCAGTGATTCTGTAACATCTTACTACATTGATAGATAGTATCTGCACTAGAGGGGGTGAGGATCTAATGTGTAACTGTTGTACCATTAAAGCCAATACATTGTATAGCAACGATACTTCCAAAATAAAAGTACCTTCTCTTGTGATTGCCTATGTCATTAAGTACAAACCAAAACCACATGGGATGCCATCACACAAATGTCAGGATGGTTATCATCAAACAA